GTGTGTGTGTGTGTGTGTGTGTGTGTGTGTGTGTGTGTGTGTGTGTGTGTGTCTGCTGCATCAAACAACAACAGTCTCCTCCACTCACCCTGCTTCCTGTCTGTTGCCATGGTGACAGGATGCTGACAGACAGAAATACATTCAATCCAATGGGAGGAGCAACTGAGTCTCCCATAGCAACAGTGTGTGAGCCAATCAGAGCGAAGGACTGCTCCACCGGAGGCTCATTCATCTGTTTTCACACGTTTCATTTGAATGATTCGATCTGACAAGATGAGACAAATAAACAATCTGTTTCCCTTTCAGGAGGTTCTGTAATACACATCTGTTTGATATCAATGACAAATACGGTCGTGTAAAACTTAATTAGGTTTATACTTTGTTAGCAAAACATCTCCTGAGCCCCGTGATGAATGTTATTCAAACATACAGACAGTAATCACTAAACAGACACACAACCAATTCAGTTTTGGAGCCAACCTGGTTTAAGATGGTCACCACAAACAGTATTATCAGCTTCATCTGACAAACACTGTCTGTAACAGTTCTATAGATACTACAGATCTGATGTGGTCGTAGCTGAGAGTGAACTCCAAAACATGTCAAAACTAAAAGAAGAACCGGAATGAAAACCATCAGACCCTGGACTGGAACTCATCAGACCCTGGACTGGAACTCATCAGACCCTGGACTGGAACTCATCAGACTCTGGAGTGGGAATTGTCAGACACTGGACTAAGTAAGACCCATTAGACACTGGATGGAAACTTATCAGACCTCGGACTGGAATCCAGAAGACCCTGGGGCTGGGATCTATTAGAAACTGGACTGGGACTCACCAGGCCCTTGACTAGGATTTTTTAGACCCTGGACTGGGACTAATCAGATCCGGAATGCAGACCTATGAGACCGTGGACTGAGACTCATCAGACCTTGGACTAAGACCCAATGGACCCAGAAAGAGAATTTATCAGATCTCAGATTGGGAACCATCAGATCCAGTACTGGAACCTATTAGAAGCTGGAATGAGACATCAGATCCTAGACTAGGATTTTTTAGACCCTGGATGGGGACTAATCAGATCATTAATGCAGACCCATCCACCAGACTGTGGACTGAGACTCATCAGGCCTTGGGCAGGGACTTATCAGACCTTGGACTAAGACCCATTAGACCCTGGACAGGAACTCACTGTGTTCCGAACATATCCCATCACCAAACAGAGGAGGTTTCAGTCACTGCC